TGTGTTTGACCTTTTGTCCTTGCTTTTTCTTTGCTGATTTCTACTTTTATGGCTTTATGGTCAGAAAAGATGCTTTGTAATATTTCAATGCTTTGGATTTTGTTAAGGCTTGCTTTATGGCATAATATGTGGTCTATTCTGGAGAATATTCCAGGTGGGTTGGAAAAGAAAGTATACTTGGCTGCTGTTGGGTGAAGTGTTCAGTATATGTCTATGAGATCAAGTTGGTTGATTGTAGCATTTAGATCTTCCGTGTCTTTGCTGAGCTTCTATCTGGATGTTCTGTCCATCCCCAAAAGTGCTGTGTTGAAGTCTCCTACTACTATTGTGGAGCTGTCTATCTCTCTTTTCAATGCTGTTACAGTTTGTTTTATGTATTTTGGAGCCCTGTCATTGGGTGCATAAATATTTATTATAGTTATGTCCTCCTGGTGTATTAACCCTTTAATCATTATACAGTGTCCTTCCTTATCCTTTGTGATGGATTTTACTTTAAAGTCTATTTTGTTAGAGATTAATATTGCCACTCCTGCTCTTTTTTGAGTGTTGTTTGCTTAATATATTTTTTTCCATCCTTTGAGTTTCAGTTTGTTTGTGTCTTTAAGTCTAAGGTGTGTCTCTTGTAGGCAGCATATAGATGGATTGTGCTTTTTTAATCCAATCTGCCACTGTCTCTTTATTGGTATACTTAGTCCATTTACATTCAGTGTAATTATTGATAGGTAGGAGTTTAGTGCTGTCATTTTGATGTCTTTCTTTGTGTGTTGTTCACAGTTTCCTTTTTCCATTTAATTTTCTGTGCTGAGTCGTTTTTCTTTATGTATTTTCTTTTCGTCTTTTTCATTATTGTTGATTTGTGTTTGCTGAGTCTTTATATTTTTCTAGTTTTTTATTTTGACTTGCAGGATTATTAGTTTCCTTTGTGGTTACCTTAATATTTATCCCTATTTTTCTAAGTTTATACCAGTCTCTTATTTCTTTATATTGCCTTGACTTCCTCTCCATATGAAAAATCTATGTCTACATTTTTTAAGTCCTTCTTTTTTGTTCTAATGTTGTCATCTTTACATATTGACATCTGTTTCTGTATTTTCAGTGTTTTAGCTTTGATTTACTTTTGTGACTTCCCTATCTGGGTTGATATCTGGTTGCTCTGTCCTGTGTTCTCGTCTTGGGTTGTTATCTGATGTTACTGATTTTCTAACCAGAGGACTCCCTTCAGTATTTTTTGTAATTTTGGTTTGGTTTTTGCAAAGTCCCTAAACATCTGTTCTTCTGGTAATGCCCTAATTTTGCCATCATATTCGAGAGACAGTTTTGCTGGATATATAATACTTGGCTGGCAGTTTTGTTTTGTTTTTTTTTTTTTCCTTCAAGGCTTTATATATGTCATCTCATTGCCTTCTTGCCTGCATGGTTTCTGCTGAGTAGTCCAAGCTTATTCTTATTTACTCTCCTTTGTAGATGACTTTTCGTTTGTCCCTCACCACTCTTAAATTTCTCTCTTTATCTTTGGTTTTGGCAAGTCTGATGATAATATGTCTTGGTGACTTTCTTTTGGGATCTACTTTATGTGTGGTTCGATGAGCATTTTGGATAGATATCTTGTCATCTTTCATGACATCAGAGAAGTTTTCTGCCAACAAATCTTCAACAATTCTCTCTGTATTTTCTGTTACCCCCCACCACCATTCTGGAACTCCATTCACTTGTAGCTTATTCCTCTAGATAGAGTCCTACATAATTCTTAGGGTTTCTTCTTTTTTAAGCCTTTTATCCGATTTTTCCTCAAATAAGTTGGTGTCAAGTGCTTTATCTTCCATCTCACTAATTCTGACTTCCATTGCCTCAGTTCTGCTCCTGCTCCTATGACTTTCTATTGAGTTTTCTAATTCTGAAATTTTATTGTTAATCTTCTGGATTTCTGATTGCTGTCTCTAAGGATTCTTGCAGCCTGTTAAATTTGTCATTATGCTCTTCTCTAATCTTTTTAATTTATTGCGTGTTCTACATTTTGCTTAATTTCCTTCCTAATTTCTTGAAGAGTTCTGTATATTAATCTTTTGTATTCTGCCTCCGGTAATTCCAAGAAATTTTCCTCCTCTGGAAAATTTCTAAATTCTTTATTTTGAGAGCTTGCCTCTTTATGTGACTTGATATTGACTGTTGTCTCCGAGCCATCAATAAGTTATTATATTTATTTATTTTATGTTTGCTTACTGTGTACTAGCTTCTTGTTTTGATATGCCCAAATAGGCTGCTCGTATGAGCTAGTTTGATTATTGGCACCTTTGAGGCTCTAACGTCCTGTCACCAGGTGGTTAGATCTGTTACTAGGTATGTGAGCTCAGGAGTCTGCCCGCTCCTCCTGTATGGATTCAGCACAGGTGCCCAAGTAGGTAGCCTCCAAGTGTGTGGTGTAGGCTCTCACAGTCCTAGACAGGCATGGGTGATTGGTGTAGGCACATCTGGCTGCAGCAGGGGGACACACTCTGAGCAAGGTGGTGGGCTGACGGCCGCCCCTGAGTGTCCAGGGGTACGGTGTGTCCCTGTTCCCTACAGCGTGTAGGTGGGTGGGTTTTGCAGCCAGAGTATGAGTACCTAATTCTGTTGGCTGTAAGGACTGGGGGGTACCTCTTATTCATGGGCCCCTCTCGCAGGTGGCTAGGTGGCGTGGGGAGCCACCAGTCCCCAGGCCCCTGATGTGGGTAGGTGAAGACCCTGATTAATGGGCAGAGTGGTGTCAAATGTCAAGAACCTGCCACTTCATAGCTGAAACAGTTGAAGTTAGAGTTCCGGTATATACCCTGTTGTACTGCGGTAATGAGGCCCGACACTGCTGAGATGGGCCCACACAAGTCTCTGCAGGCGGAAAGGCACTCAGAGTCCATGGATCCCTTATGCCTATACCTAGGCAAAGGAGCTGTGCCTACCCTGGGCTCCTGGCTTAGGGGAGCTGGCAGTTTATTTTTTTCCGTTTGTTAATTTATTCACTCTCCCAGGCAGGGAGAATGGCTCCTGGCGTGTGACAGGTCCTACTTCCCGCCTAGGGGACTCAGCAATTGCTGAAGCCAGTCCAGGACCCAGTGAGGAGCAGGGAGCAGGGAGCTAAATGGGAGAAAGGTTTTTCCCTAAGGGGGTGTTTTTTATCTGCACGGTAAGCCATATGCAAATGCTTATCTTTCGCTGATGAAGGCTGCTTCTCACTGGTTCTTGGTGGCCGTGTAGGCTCTCTGGCGGTGGGTCTCTCCCGGCGTGGAAAACGCGGCCCCCAAGCACCGTCGCTTGCCTGCCTCACCACTCACCCATGAGCTGCTCATGCCTGAAGGGCTCAGGCTCTCGCTGGGTCAGGTCTGGCAACTCCTCGCTCCTTCTGAACCATCTCCTCCTCCCCCTGCCACTCAGTCTGGTTCCTCAACTCTGCCTTTGATGTTCAGGGCTCCCAGATTGCCATATATAATCAAATCACTTGTCTTTTCAGGTCTTTGTTGTATGAGGGTCCACCGGAAGCATTTGACTACCCTACCATCTTGGCCCCGCCTCAGAAATTCTTTCTGACCAAGACTCTACCATGTGATCTTGGGTAATTCACTTTGATTTGTTTTCTTGCATGAATAAAATGAGGGGCTGTGAATAGATTAGGCAGATAATGGGCAAATGAGCTGCATTCCTCCCCCTCACTGCAATCACTTCTCTCCTTCCCTGAGTATGCCTTCAGCACCCTTCTCAACACACACCTCAAATCAGCCACTACAAATTAATTAGAGATTAAATATATCACCCATAGTTGGACTCAATGATCTATAATACTGAGTCCAAGTCCAATATTCAGATAATGTAGAGCCCTATATTTCTGCATGGGCCAATAAACATCATGATAAAAGGAGAAAAAAAACTGAAGTTGTCAACTATTTCATTCTACTTGGATCAACAATCAATGTCCATAGAAACAGCAGTAAAGAAATCAAATGACATATTTGCATTTGGAAAATACGCTGCAAAAGATCTCCTTAAAGTTTTAAAAAGCAAAGATGTCACTTTGATGATTAAGGTGCACCTGACCTGACTAAGGTGCCATGGTGTTTTCAATCACCTCATATGGGTTCAAAAGTTGGATAATGAAAAAGAAGAAGGATTGATGCATTTAAATTGTGCTGTTGGTGAAGAATATTGAATGTACTGGGGACTGCCAGAAGAATGAACAAATCAATTTAGAAGAAATATGACCAGAATGTTCCTTAGAACCAAGGGTGGTGAGACTTCATCCAGCTTACTTTGGACACTTTATCAGGAAAGACCAATCACTGGAGAAGGATATCATGTGTGATCAAGTAGAGGGTCAGGAAAAATGAAGGAACCCTTCAATGAGATGGATTGTCACAACAGGCACAACAATGGGCTCAAACATATCAATGGTTATGAAGATGATGCAGTACCAGGCAACATTTTGTTCTGTTATACCCAAGGTCACCATGAGTTGGAGCCATCTCCATTACACCTATCAATGACAACAACATATTTCGGCTGATAACAGCCCCATTTAGGAATTCGTAGCAGCCTGGTGAAAACAACCAAGGACAACCACTTTGATCTGACTATCATCACCTGTGCTGAAAGAACAATGTTGCCCTACTTCCTCCCTATTTTCAGAGAGATTGGCCATTCTAAATTCCACAGTTAGAAAATGTTATCTCGGAAATATGTAAGGGCATTGTTGAACATGGAGTTAGTGATCCTATGGCCTAATAAGAATCTCCTATGGCTTGGGGATCAGACAGACCTGAATTCAAATCCTATACTCAATATTTTCCAGCTGTGTGGACTTGGGTGACTCCTCTAAGCATTAATTTCCTCTTCTGCAAAATGTAGTCAGTAGTTATCTCAGCAGGACTGTTGGGAGAATTAATGAGAGGCTGTAGAAAAAGCTCAGAGGTTAGCTCAGAATAGGAGCTCCATAAATGGAAGCCATCACCACCATTGCTCAATACCATCCAACTTACGTTTCACGTACAGGCGGCCTATAACCTTAGCAGTTCCATATCTGTTGGACACTTCACATACATAGCTGCCTGAGTCTGAGGGACGTGTATTCTCAATGAGAAGCCCTGTCACAGTCTTCTGGAACCTTCCAGAGAGCTCCAGAGGCATGTTGTCCTTTAGCCAGCGGTAATCTGGCTCAGGGTGCCCAAGCGCTTTGCAAGGCAGCTCCACGCGCTGCCCTGCCATGGCTTTGCGATGATCGAACCCATCCAGTATGGATGGGGCTGAGTTCGCTGGATCTGAAGAAGAAAGAAAAACTCTTAGAGGCAGTGAATGAGAAGTTGAAGTGGTCATTAGGAATTCTAAGGCTTCATGTATAATTTAAATTCTATACATCATAGCAACGACTGATATACAGATCTTTAAGATTTTGTATAGAACAGAAACGAAGAGCTCTACTCATACACATTACTTCCACTTAAAACTCTACAAAAGGTTGAAGATTGGTAAGAGCTTCTGCTTCTCATAAATCCAGAATCATCATGTCTCAATAGGAGTCCTCAGCTCAGACCAAGAGTTGGATTTTCTTATCATAACTTGTGTGAAAAAAAAAAAGAAACTGATAGAAGAAAATCCAACACCTCTACAACAAAAAGACAAATAATCCTATTAAAAAATGGGCAAAGGAAAGGAACAGACACTTCACCAAAGAAGACATTCAAATGG